CTCGTCCCCGCTGACTCTGTGTGCTAATTACGATCGTGTGGTTTTTTATCGAAGGCCCAGAGCAGCAACTAAATGGACTGTGCAGCGAGATTGTTTTCTGTTGTGTTATGACCTCCCTCAATAATGTTCCCATTGTTTCCAGTTATCAGCCAGTAAACCTCCACCCTCCATCCCTCCCTGAATGACTCAGTGCAGTTCAATACAATCTTTATTGTTCCCTGAGATGAATACGGTTTGCAGATGGAGTAAAAGCTCAGTGGGTACGCGAAGAAATATGGGAACGCAAGGAAAACCACACAAAAAAACAAGCATGAGTTGATAAAGCCCCTCAGGGAGTCAATAGCTGAATATACAGCAATAAAAAAACTCAATCATCAGTGCAGCCAGAGCTTCCACCGAAATGAATTGGAGGCAGCACTTATGACTGACAGTAATAAGGTTTACAAACAGCTCCAGTCAATTGTGAGAAGGAGTCAATGTGTTTCTCTCTGCACTGAGTGAATAATGGGACAGCTAGTTAAAGACAAATCCTCCTGAAAACAGTTTAACATTGTTTTAAAAATAGAACCTGAGGAAAAAAACCTCTGAATTTCCTGGGTCCATTCTGTTTTTCACATTAGGAGATATTTCCAGCGCAGCAGCGATGATATAAAAAAGGCAGCACCAATTTTTTTTGACTTATCTGAAACGTCAACAATAGGCTAAACATCCTGTTTTGGCGTCTGTCCCTCGGGATTGTGGAGCAAAGCGCTGCTCTTGATTTTCCTCAGACTTTCAACCATCACACGAGGAGAAAGAAATCCACCCGGCGAGGAGGAGTACATAACAATCTTTCCACCGACAGTCGCCTCCAGGGACCTGCAGTACAATGCATCCAGCGGAGTTGTGTTGCGTTATCAGTAAAAGGATACGATTCCGCCTTTTCTCAGATGAGAAAAGCGTGTTCTCCCGCAGTCGGTATCACTACCTCGCCTGCTATTGCTCATTACCTCAACATGAAACTCAAAGCTAAATACAACACACCTGTTCTCTGGGAGTTGTGGGAAATCGTGTAAAGCAAATGTAGACAAGGCAGGTGGAGGGGAACGTGGGGATGAAATTAAAGAGGGAATTACATCAAATTCAGTATGAAACCAGAACTTCACTGAGCAGAGTGCATCTCTTCACCAAGGCCCAACTGTCCTGTAATGAAACCACTTCAAATTCACAAGTTCTGGACTTTCCAAACTCTTCTCCGGAACAGCAGCGCAGAGGAACAAGTTACTTCTCAAAACTGAACTCTTGTATTTGGACTTTTTGATTATTCTCGGTTTGTTTGTGAGGATCTTTTGATTTACCTTGGTTTGCATTTTGATTTTGATTTTGAAGCTTCTTTGTTTCACGCCCCTGTGATCGTCTGCACCTGTTCCTGATGTGTTTCACCTGTGTTCAACGATCCCTGCCTCCCTGGAGGATTTAGCCTCTGTGCTTCTCTTTGTCTTTGTCGCGTCTGTTCGGTCCAGCTCCTGTGTCTCCTGCTCTGCTTTTAGTTTCAGTTCTATGTCACCTCCTGCCACCTCCTGTTTATTTTTGATGAAATATTTTTGCAGGTTGTTTCTATTTGCCTGCATTTCTCTGCAGCTCTGAAAATAATATGACACTCCTGGTGTGAGTGAAAAAATAAATCCCTGGATCCCCCCGATTAGGATCCACATCTATATTTAATGGGTTCTTCCCTGACCCGTACCACATCCTTCCTCAAACGCTTTTGTGGAAATCTGTTGAGTAGTTTTCGTGGAATGCTGCTTACTAACAAACAAATGCCAATGAAAACTGGTGCAGATAATAACCCCTGGGTTTCAAGGACCATCAGGCTGGGATCTCTGTGGCGTGCAGGGGGAGTTGATGGGAGGTCTTGTTTTCCAACCACAGTGGCCTGGGCGGGCCTGGCTGGAGGTGATCTCTGGTTGATGGGTAGAAGTTGACAGCCGAAGACCTGCTCAGCCGTCAGCGGCACAGACACGGTGCTGCAGTTTGTCCTTGGAAACTGGACGAGGACGAGCAGGACGAGATACAAGGACGCCTTCCGTTACTGCCTCAGATGAAATTGGACTGGATGAGGTTCAAGCTTTCTCCAGTGCCACAGGATGAAGATCAACTGTTGTGCTTTGCTAATTAGGCAGGAGGTGTTTTCTCTCCATCTGCAGGTGTGTGTGTGTATGTGTGTGTGTGTGTGTGTGTGTGTGCATGACATGCATGCCCTCTGCAGAAACGATCGATGTTTGTGACTATATGAAGGAGGCGGTTATGGGGGAAAAATGGTCTTGCAGCAGAGATAGTGATTTATTAGAATTGCTCTCACACACACAAAGGCCCTCACAGACAGAGAGGAGCGGTGAGAAAGTTGCTCCAGGCGATATTACCCACCTCTGTTGTCTTAAAACTCGCCTTCAGCCATGTAGTCAGGAGTCGTGTCAATGTAGGTTAGTATACACACACTCAAATGTGTCAGCTGTAAGTAAGTGAGCTGCAAAGTGGAAGGTTCGCCGTGCATGACAAATGTGTCATAAATAAAACTGTATATACATCGCTGTATGGAAGAGAGCGAGCTGATACGCTGCCTGGTAACACGTCTGCAGCCGAGGATACTGGGTAAATTCATTGTCTCACTGTGGGACTCATTAGAGCACGCTCACTAGTACGGTCATTATTTGGGAACCAAAACGCAGTAACTGTTGTCGCTTATACCCTCGAAAAAACCAAAGCTCATTAAAACACACAAGAGCAAATGAGAGCCTGAAAGGAGCAGGCGTGTGTGACCCATTTTGGCTCGTGACTGCGTATAGTAGTTTGCACACACACACACACACACACAGAGAGTTGTGTCTCCATGACTTCAGAGCACATTATGTTAATTTACATAAATTTCCTGGAGACTTGGTCTCACCTTAATCGTCGTTACAACCTTAACCTAACTTTCTGACCTAAACTCAACCTAATCCTATCCTAAATCTAATCTTAAAACATGTCTTCAATTTAAAATGTTATAATCTACATGATGGGGACTTGCTTTAGTCCCCATAGTGTGACAGTAAAGACAAAGTTTACTGTTCACACACACACACACACACACACGGCCTGAACTGGCCGATGAACCGAAGCGGAATATGGACGAAGGCCACACATGTCAAATGTGCCAAATGAAATCACATTAGTAACTTAAATGAAATCTAATTAAATCAAGTTGAATCAACAGCTGAAGCGGTGAAACCCCTGCTGGTCGTCTGAGCGCCTGCAGCCGTGACACGCTCTCACGCTCCTGGTATAAAAAAGGGTTTTTTTTTCTTCTTAATAGAAGTTCTGCAAACGACTGCAGCCCTGCTGCTTCTGCTGCTGCTTCTGCTGCTACTGCTCTATCCTCTGCTCTCCCCCTAATTTCCACCCCAAAGCACAAACAACCCACAAGGTTTCGGGATAGGTCGAAAATTTCCTCCAATACTCAGGCAATAAAAGTCCGACCAGGGGCATCTTAATTGACCGGCAGCCTATACAATCAGACTGTTAAACAGAGGCAATAAGAGCGGCCTTATGTGCAGTGGCCAGATGCTGCCTCTCTAACAACCTTTTATGCTCAGGACAATGATTTTCTGCTTTTTTCTCATAGTTTCCGGCCGCACGTTGAATCAAGTTTTTACATTTTGATGTTGTCTTATTAAGTTTTATTGCTTTTATTCTTTTTATTTGTATTTATTGCTTTTTACGCCATGCTGTCTTCTTATTGCTTTTATTTCTTAATTCTTCCTATTAGTGAGAATGCGTCTGTGCAACTTTGTAAACCCTGTTTGTAAAGGTGTTGTACAAATTAAGATTATATTATTTTCTCTGTATAATCAATCAATCGTTAACATGTCGATACAAAGAACAATGTCATGACACTTGACATAGTTGGTAGTCGCCACCCTCTGCATTTTAAGGAATTAAGTGGCTGTTTAATGATCACATGCTCATAACTCCACACTTCACTATGACAAACATTGTCTTGTCTCACTTGTCTCTCTATAAACCATTTGTCAACTTGACTTGTTAAAACACTTGTTAGCAGAAGCTCTTGTTTCTCTTCTCATGCTGACTCTGAGCTCTCTGGGAAATAAACTGGAACTCTGGTTCTTCTTCGCTTCTCGTCAGCGTCTTTCTGAGAGACACTGCAACACTGACATCCAGCGGTCAAACACCAGAACTGCAAAGAAGTCACATAGAATCCTGAGTAACAAACTCCAAGAGTTGGTGTGTGTGTGTGTGTGTGTGTGTGTCATCTGAATCTGAATCTTTATCTAAATATGAATCTTTATCTGAATTTGAATCTGAATCTAAATCTGAATCTGAATCTGAATCTAAATCTAAATCTGAATATAATCTAAATCTTTATCTGAATCTTTATGTGAATCTGAATCTGAATCTAAATCTGAATCTGAATCTAAATCTGAATCTTTTTGTGAATCTGAATCTAAATC